CTTTTATCACAAGACGAAAGAAAATGAGTTTCGTTTTATTATTAATTATCTTTTAATTATCTTACTTAATTATCTTAATAATGAAAGTTATAAAAAAATAATATATTAATATATATAAAATGATAAACGTTATATGTCTTAATACGTAAAATGATAAAAGTTATATGTCTTAATATTTAAAATCGCGAATGAATTAACCTAAGGTACCGCTCGACTGCATTTCGGATGAACGTCCGCAAGTTTTTTAATTTTCCGCACGTTACACCTCTCTCCTTAAGAAAATAAATAACGGGAGGATAAATAAATAAAAAAAATAAATAAATAACACGTTACTTCTGAGAGCTTAGTGGTGAGAACAGGGTGAGATCAGGGTGAGATTTGAGTCACTTATAGTAATAGTCTATGGGAATTATGAACGCAAGATTATAAGGACACTGATTGTTCGTTGAGACTCTTTCTTATAAAGTCACTCCCACTGGCTGTTCTGGCAGAAACTTTGCACATACTATAGGTAACACTTTTGCGTCTATTTGATTGTCTGCGCTCACTTTAATGAATTTCTTTGCAAGTTGCGCATGTGTTGCGCTCGGCAGAGTCTTCCACGTTATTGGAGATGGCTCCGCGCTGGTTTATTCTCCTAGAATATTCCGTTCGTTTGCTTGGTTGGATATAATGGCTGAGTTTCTTGGAAGGACGTGCCGCAGATTGAGGTTGTCCACGCGGGCATAAGTTTCGTTTGAAGTTCCTTCTTCGACTGCTCGAGGAGGTAACTCAGGATGGCTGCGTTTCCCCAAGTGCAGCAGAAGGTAATAGAGGAAAAGATTATTCCTAGTAGGTGCAAACTCCATCCATACACCGAATGCAGTGCATAATCGTGTATCGCAGTGTCTGCAATCAGTTTAATGAGCCTTATCAACATCCAGATACCAATAAATCCCGCACTGGCAATCCCAAATTTCAGAAACCCACAATTTTTCACCGGTAGAAGTAGCTATTTTATCAAGGGTTTGCTCATCGAGAAAACCTGAGAGGGAAATGCCAAAGGGACGCGTTGTCTGGCTGCAGTGCGAAGGTATTGAGGAGAACGGTACTCTCGACAGGAAACATGATGTGGTCACGTAATCTGGAGAGAGCTTCCTGGGAATAAATTCCACTATCGGCAAGATGCTCAACATATTTCCAGACGGGTTTAGTCATTGATTCTAAAGTCTGAGGCGACAGTACCGCAGCAGGTTTCGGAGTAAGACTTATCCAGCCTCCTTTTATCTGGTACATCACAGATATGAAAGGATTGCAGTCAATCGGCGTGCTGTTGTTAACTGAAATGTGAGTTTTAGGAGATAAATACATAGATCTATTTTGTAAAGATACTGGTAATTCTAAATAACAGGTTTCGGTGGTGCGACGTGTAACTTCGATTGGAATGCATTTAATAATATGAGCTACTTTACCCGAAATCATAATCATAGAGCCTTTCATTAAGTTGTATGCAAAAACATCAAGTTAGGTATGAGCTATCGATATAGCGTTTTTCAATATTTAAAACTTGTTATTCTAATTTACACTTTTGTTCAAGAATGTTATAGTAGAAGTCTTGCATTTGTGTCTTTAAATGTTTCTCAACGTAGACGAATTTAGAGTTAATATAAGTGAAGATATCTAAATTATCGATAGAAATTCTAGTAAATAGTAAACAAAGAGCTTATTTTTATTTGTTTCTACGATTAGCAATTTAGGATGTTCAGTTTGTATCAAGGTATAGCCGCACATGTTATATTCAGATTTTTTGAATAAAGCAAAAATGATCTTTTGTTATTAACGAGTATAGAATAGGATATTGAGTGTTTGAATCAGCTATTTTATAAGCTTGACTTTGATACAAATATAAGCATGGAAGTTACACGTCTCGACGGGTAAAGGAATCCAATATACATTTCTTCCGTCTTCATCAATACATTCATTCCTTGAAAGCGTGCATTGAATTCCTGAACGAAGTGTAATATAATCCATCTTTGTCCTTGCAGGCGCAAGGTAACCTCGCAGTGTAACGATAATGGCGGCTTCGACGATGACATCGTCCCAGATCCTGTATGGATCCGAGAAATGGCTTTCTTTAGGAACTATCCATGTTAGTAGTACCGGTTAAAGTGACGATCCGATAGTTGGTAGCATTGAGGAGCAATCCAATGATAGAGACGGAATTTCCTAGAATGATGGAACCCGTCACGTAAATGAGCGCATTTGTATTGGTCAAGTTCTAATAGACATTTTCTATGACCTCCACGCATCATGGAGATATGTAAATGCATTCCACAATGGAATATTTGTCAATCGATTTCTATCTTGCAGGAAATGACGCCTATCTGCGAGTAATCGGCGACTTGCAGCAGTTGTACGAGGGTAGTCTGAAAAGTTTTGAGCCTAACATGAAGATGACTTAGTTACTCGTCAAAACTATTCTAGTACTACAATAGTATATGCTTTGAAAGACTTTTGTGAAAATTTCAGCCATTTTGGACGCTCAGTTGTTGTTTGACAGTCGTTTGTGTCAGTCGATGTCAGTGTTTTTGTAAAAATGGAAAAAATTGAATCGTGCGGTAATTAAATTCTTACATTTGAAAGGCAATATACCTGCGCAAATTAAAATCGAGTTGGACGCTGCTTACGGGGACTCTGCCCCATCATTTGTCACCGTAAAAGAATGGGCAGCTGAATTTAAACGTGGTCGTACCAGCTTAGCTGATGAGTGTTCGGGACGGCCAAAAACTGCAACCACCGCTGATAACATCGAAAATGTTCACCAAATGGTACTGGACGACCGTCGAAGGTTAGAGAGATAGCAAAGGCTATTGAAAGAACGCGTTTGTCATATATTGACTGAAGAATTGGATATGCGCAAGTTATCCGCGCGTTGGGTGCCGCGCTTGCTCACTTTGGACCAAAAATGAATTCGAATGAACATTTCCAAGGCCCTGTTGGAGTGGTTCAAGCGAAACGAGTCAGATTTTTTGCGTCGATTCATAACTGTAGATGAAACTTGGATCCACCACTCCAGAGACAAAAGAACAATCAAAACAGTGAACTGCAAAGGGTGAACCTCCTCCGAAAAAGGTGAAAACGGTTCCATCAGCTGGGAAGGTAATGGCGACTGTTTTTTGGGATAGTCACGGAATTGTGTGTATTGACTATCTTGAAAAAGGTAAAACAATAACGGGAACGTATTACGCATCATTACTTGATAAGCTGAAGGCAGAAATTGCAAAAAAACGGCCGCATTTGAAGAAGAAAGTGTTCCATCAAGACAACGCACCTGCTCACATTTCGGCGGTCGCCATGGCCAAAAGTCACGAACTGCACTTTGAATTGGTTGACCACCCACCGTATTCATCAGATCTGGCCCTCAGCGACTTTTTCCTGTTTCCTAAGCTTAAAGTTTTGCTTGGAGGACAGAGATTTTCATCGAACGAGGAGGTCATCGCATACGTAAACGCCTATTTTGCGGAGCAAGACGCCAACTACTATTTGGAGGAGTTAAAGAGGTTAGAGTATCGATAGGAAAAGTGTATCGACTTAAAAGGAGATTATGTTGAAAAATAAAACTATATTTGACCGAAAAATACTTGTTTCTATGTTAGACTCAAAACTTTTCAGACTACCCTCGTATATATTCTTCAATTTAGCACTGTTGATTGATCGATGCTTGATGGAGAGACTTTGATTATTACATTGATGGTTAATAACATATTGCGAAGAAGTACAGAATTAAAAGGAAAGAAAATAAAAAAAGAGAAGTGTAATGAAAAAGTAAAAACAGTAACAGCAACGGAAAGGAGTAGATATAGATACGTATACATATCAGAAAGTCTCAATAGTTTATACTATTTTATATTTTATTTTGGCATATTTTGAATATGAAATATTTCGTAAACTATTCCTTTTGTAACTTAATATTTTTACACGGAGCAAAATCAATATGGTATTGAGAAAATGTATAGTCGCTTTTCAATAAAATTATGCAATTTGTAATCACATACCTTTTTTAAAAAATAACTATATTGTTATGACCGAGCGGTGTTCCGCTCGGCGCTACTCTCGTATCGATTTTTAATTTGAAGATCGTTCCTTGCCGACGCGGTTATCAAGCGATTGCGAAGGCGTTGTTGTGCAGAGAGAGTCGACGGCGCCGTGCGCGAGTTTAAGTCATATCGCGGTGAATTTATATTTAATTGTAAAAAGCTCTTGTTATAGCTCCCATGCTTTTGTGAATAATAAAATATGTGTTCCTTCGTTTTATAAACTGTCTCTTCCTTCCCTGGCGTATTATGTCTCTTTCCCTGGAGTGTTATGCGAACCCGCCGCGAGCATGACATTTTTGGGGTCCGGGATATTTTTGCTCGTCCGGGATCATAGAATCCATCGCACAGATCGTTGCTTAATATGATAGAACGTCAGGCATTGGCGAGCATTGAAGGTTCGACGGAACAGCGAGCGGAATCCGTGAATTCCGAAAGTGTAACTTTCAGATGGCTTCGGGAAGGGGAATGGCTTCGGCAAGAAAGACATCCGGGAAGACAGATGGCTTCGGCAAGAAGAACAATTTGTGTGCGAACGAAGCAACCGAGATGACGGATGTGAAGACGATTCTCCGACTTTGGAGAAGCTTCATCTTATGAGGGAAGAGCGCTACGTTGTTGCATCAAAGATCGGAGACTTGTTTGCTTTCCTAACAGAGAGAGTCAGGACAGTGTTCGGAGCAACGCCACACACCAAGTCTATCCCCAATTCTAATTTTGTTTTTGTGAATAGTCTTAGTTTTAAATTAAAGCCTGATACCTATGACGGAAGTGTCCCGTTGTGAATTTTTGACGCAATTTAATTTAATCGCGCGTGCGAATAATAGGGGGAATGCGAAAAAGGTTGTTGTATTAGTGTCTTAAAGGGAAAGCGCGTGCGGTTTTAGAAGAAGATATGGAGTTGGAAAATTCGCAATTTGATGATTTGGTTTTGCGATTAGAATTGCGTTTTGAAAAAAAATTTTCGGCACAAACTTATTATATGTAGTTTATAAATCAAAAACAAAATTTCGGGAAGGATTTAGAACGTTTATCTTGTCTTGCTTATCCGGAGTGTTCGCCCGGTTTACAGGATAAAATTGTGTTCGCAATTTGTTGCGCTTAAAGATGGGAACATAAAATAGACTTTACAGTTAGAAAAGTTGCCGTTGAAAGGGCAATGGCGATAAAAGTTATTAAAGATAACAATTCAGAAAAAAAATATTTAGTTTTTGGAGAATCATAATTTTTCTAATTATAACGAGAGAACTGATTTTGGGAATGAACAGAACAAAACATTTGGAAATCAAAAGATGATGTTTTAAGTCATACGAAACCTGAAAATTTTAAAGAGAAGAGGAAATTTCCTCCTAATGTAGGGGAATGTTATCAATGCGGGGCCAAGAGATACTTCCGGACTGAATGTCCTGCACTTTCTAATTTAAAGCAGGAAAACTCCAGCTGAGTTCTGCATGAAGGATTTGCAGGGTTCGGCATTGAAAGAGACTTCAAAAGGGAGGAGTTTTTCTTTTGAAAATTTAACTGGGAATTCAAATAATTTTTGTTTTCGTGGAAATGTAGACGGGCAAGGATGTGTTTTTAAAATTGACACAAGTTCCGATATTTCGATTCTTAGTTGGAAATTAGTTAAATTGAGTAAAGCAACGAATTTGGGTAGGAAACTGAGATATCCTATTGGCGAGGAGGTTTCTATTGATTTTAAAATTTTAGTACAAGTAGAATTAGGAAAATTTTCTTTAGAATTTTCTATGTTTGTAATAGATATAAAGGATGAATTCATTTTGGGAACGGATTTCCCTATTAAAGTCGGACGAAATAGAGTGATTTGGTATTTGTAAATATTGATTCCGGAAAAGAGGATTTTTTCTATTCGCGCATAAATGATTTCGAAAAAAAGGTTTCGGAAGTTCCAAAATTCTTGTTAGAGTTTTTCACAAGAAATTCTGAAGAGTTGAGTAATTCGTAGAAGGAGCGTTTTTCTATATTTATTGAATTTCAAGAATTTCATGTTTTCCGAAAACATTGTGGCGGACAGTTGTTCGGTTATTGAGCACTCTATTTCTGTAGGGCAATCAGGTTCTATTAAGCAAGTTCCGAGGCGAATTCCTTTACAGATGCGTGATGAAGTAGAAAAAAATTGTTGAAGAAATGCAAATTTAGGGAGTGATAGAGGAATCACATAGTCCTTGGGTTTCACCCGCGGTAATTGTGAAAAAGAAAGACGGAACATTGAGATTCTATGTTGATTACAGAAAACTCAATACTGGCACTGAAAAGGATTCTTACCCACTACCAAGAATAGATGATTTTCTTGATCGATTATTATAAGGGAATTTTTGGTTTTCTACTCTTGATTTAAAAAGTGAATATTGACAAGTAAAATTCCGCCTTGAGGATAAGAAGAAAACGGCATTTTCTATTGGAAATGGCAATTTACTGCCATTTGAGTTATGCAGTGCTCCGGCGACTTTTGAACGGTTGATGGAAAAGGTTTCATCAAGTAATGAACAAAATTTGTTTAGTTTACTTAGATGATGTTGTTATTTTCAGCAAAACTTTTAAAGAAATGCTGGCTAATCTTCGGAAGGTTTTTCTTTGTCTCAGGTCAGCAAATTTAAAGAATAATCCGAAGAAGTGTTCTTTATTTGGGAGAAAAGTAAAATATCTGGGACATGAAATTTTTGAAGAAGGGATCTTTACGAATCCTGAAAAGATTGCTTCCACTCGAGATTGGCTTGTTCCATGGAATAAAAAACAAGTTCGTAGCTTTTTAGGATGTTTTTATTACAAAAAATTTGTTAAGGGTTAATTTGTTTTTCTCAAATCGCAAAAATTTCTTTAACAGAAAATCAGTGTAGATTTAAATAGGATAATTAATGTTAAAAGGCATTTGTGACATTGAAACGTTTTTTTATTTCTTTTCCTATTTTATCCTTTTCGACTGAGACGGGAAAGTTTATTTTAAATACTG